TACTGCCTGCTTTCCGACATACCACAAGATTCAATAAATTTAACAGATAGCATCACTGTGTGTGAATGACAAGCAAGAGCTCAAGCTGTTGATTCTACTACAATCGAAGCACTACTGCACAGTTCAAGGCCAAATGTTGCCACGGCATAAGTTCCATGAAGTGGTGCTACAAATGTTATCGCTCTTCAAAGATAACGAGCATAACAGTGAGACAAGGGAACTCCGCGACATGCACGTCAGATAAACTGAGAAGAGTTTACGTACAACATAATTTTTCAAGATGGCCGAAACGTGCAGTCGTATTTCAAAAAGGCAAATTCTTGCAGAAAGCAGACATATCATCGACAAAAATAAACGAAAAATTCGCTGTATGAAATAAGTATCGTTTTTTAACCCTCCGTAGTGACATAGAGCGCAACATTCTCATGATTATTCTATTACAGTGATAATGAAAGACATCATCCACATCTCGGATAACCGCGACTACAAATTTCAAACGGTTTCACTGTTTACGATATATATTGTGATTTTCAAGTATTATACGCGGATCATGATAAATATAATCAATTACTGGTTAATATTATAACTAACCCTTAACAGGTACATAGTACTTTTAAATGTTCAAACCGGCTTCTGAAGCTGGCCCTCGACGCCATTTCAGCTAAAAATTTTAATTTTGTTGATACGAATTCAAGAGGTGTAAGAAAAAATTTCTCAAAAAATCGTGTGCTAACTCTGAGTTAGTGCGATTCGCTGGGAGAACTCGTTCAACACAGCGGAAGAGAATTAAATGTATTCAAACGAAAGGTGCCATTAGAATAAAAACAAAACTTTTGTTCGTAAAGCTACTGTGAGCAGCAAATAGAGCAAAATCAAATATAACTGCATCAGTTTTCTGGCTGACCTCCTATCGATCGGAAAAATTCATTGATCTTGCAGAGATGCATTACGTTACTAGCGGTTTAAGCCCAGACTCTCATGAGGCAACGAAAAATTGACAAAGTTGCCTTTTTACAGGTCAACGCTATACAAGATAAGTTCTTTGTTGCATTCTGGAACGTTCATTCTTTCTCTTGAGAAAATGAGTTCAACTGTCTCTGGCACTACCGATGGAAAAAAATTCGATGTTCTAACGGCTACTGAAATTCGCCCCCTTCGAACGGGACTTTGGTGGCTGATCGTTTAACAAACAATGGCGGATTATGCCTTTCCCATGCGGTTAAAGGCAGTGTCAAAAGCGAAGACTGATTCATGGGAATGATTTGGTAAAGTGCTTAAATCCAATTTTTGATGGTAACAACGGTCGAATCATCCACCGCATATAAGAAGGATAGCCTATGAGTCCTGGAAATGAAGTTCTAAATTTCTCTTAAAGCTGTTGAGGATACAACTTTGCAATGAAAGGAGTACTTCAAAGAACTGATTAACCTTATGCAACTGCAACAAGAGTCGTCTGAAGAGCAGCAGGCAACGGATATCAGGCTTTCAGTAGAATTTGTCACCAGAATCATACAAAGCTGCTGGATTCAATGAAATTTGTTATGATCTGCTTAAAGAGTGTGAAAACGCCCTGTTGGTGTTAACGCCTATCTACTAAACGGTAATGCCATTGGGAAGGTATCAGTTGTCTGGGGAACCCCAGTAACACTCTAGTGGGTGGTTAAATTATCGGCCATTGCCTTACAGAGCTTTTCAAGAAGAGCTTACCGCACGGTGCTAGAAAAATGGTGCGGCGGAACAACCGACTCTACACTTATAGAGGTGCAGAATGGCATCATTCCATTCCGAAACACCTTTGTCCAAGTGTTT